AGTGTAACCTATTTACCTTTTCTTAGGTCCTAAATAGCACATATCCAAACTCCAATAAGACAACGCAGAGTTCGTTGTTAAACACATAGACACACACACACATCCTGCTGTGAATTTTTTTTCTCTCCAGTTTATAGTTTCACGCTTTATTCACAAGAGCTGATTCAGAATCAGATTGTTAATTACATTAAATAAAAAGCATTTTAAAGCTTTCATCATCTGCCATCTGAACAAATATAAAGTATTTATCGGCAAGAGGACAGAATGAAACCTATTGTCTGGTCATGAAGAAGTCCTAAACAAGCAAAATTCTATTTATCACTGTAGTGGAAACCATACTAAATAAACGCCTCTTTTCTCAAGTGCTTTCTTATTGTGTGCTCACTTTTAGCAGCAAGTCCACTTCATCGATTAAATAAATTAAATAATACAATGGTGAAATTACAGAATCCACCCAAAAATGTCATACTTATATATAAATGTCTCAATATTTCAGACACTTTGACACAACAGCGCTTCACATCACACCTGTGGGCTTTACAGCAATAGAAAAAAAAAACGGGGTTTGATAGATCCTAAAAGACACTTCATCCATTCAGAACCCTGGCAGCCGTCATTATTCTCGAAAGAATCGACTTTGTCACTTCTCCATTCTTCAAGAGCGTCTCCCTCGGCCTGATGAATTATGTCGTCTGTATCTTCCAAAACAAGGCTCATTCCTGACAGGTACACAACACTTTACAAGATGGTTTTGACTGCCTGCAGATCTCAGCGGGGACAAACGTGTCAACAAGCGATCGGATTGAACTCTCTGTCCATGATGAGATGTCTCAGGTGATTTTAAACCTTCAGCTTCTCTTCAAATTCTGTATCGAGGCTTAATGTTTTTACAAAAATTTAAGGTGCTATATTGTTTTGCTGTCAGATCGGCTGCAACACAAAGAAATGAGTCTGCCACCTCAGGTATATTTATGTGTTATGTGAGAAACATGTGGATTCACTTCTGATTGATGCCTTACAACTTCGACACCATCAAGGTAAAGTCATCATTTGGAATGAAGTGATCATTTATACAATCAAGGATAACGCTCAACAACCTGAATATTCTCACATTTAGTTTGACCACCAGACTATTTTGAGGGAGGAAACAACCTTGTTGTGAAGATAAATGCTTATTTATAAAGAGATGTGTAAAGTATTTTTATAGCTGAATAGCTGGTTCTAGGTCAAATGTGAAGAACTTTTAGGGTTCTGGGAAACTGTAATGCACTTCCTCACTTTTTCATATTCTGTAAAAATTTTTACAATGGGATTATTAATATTAAATAATGGGAATATAAATGGTTGTTGAGGCAGCAGCTTGAGAGGAAGAAATATTATATAAATATATTTTGATTGAAAGTTAATATTTCTAACAGTACAGAAAATGTACATAGCATTTCTGTTGTGGTTCCAGTAACTGTTGTCCTTTCTGACTTACATTATAGCATTTTGTTCAGCTGCATGTTCTCCAGTTCAGTCACTTTACTGTAGATTTTTCTAGATATTCCTCTTTCTAGAGAGCAGACGTGTATTAAAAAGCAAGGTCTTGTCCTACAGAGCTGCGATCAACAGAAGGCTGCCCAGAAAGCGGTGAAGGGGGACAAGAGAGCACAAGGTTAATTCACCGAATCCTTGCTGTCGGCATGAGTACACCTGATATGCATGTCACAAGGATTCAAACACCGCCTGCACCATCATGTGCATCTGGCCGACGCGTAATACTTCATGGATGTACAGATGTTACTGCTCAGAAGCAGAACAGCTTACTGCGACTCGAAGCTTTCCATTTTGATTATTATAAATGGATAACAGGCCGCATCACGATGCCTCTTGTCATAAACACCCTTTTGTTTAACATCAGATTTGTGCTGCTGTCTCATGAGCCTCTGCTCACCTGGTAATGGTGATGACATGGAGCCAATTTATTTTGTGTTTGCTTTAAAGCAAACAAGAGTCGCGAGAGAACAAACAAAACATTGACTGCCTGACAAAGTCATACGTGGAGCTTTTGTATCAGTTGTGACAAGACAAAGATGGCTTGTTTCAGAGACCATATATGAAACAGTCACATGTACATGCATGTTTACAACATCATAAAAAATGCATTGACTGACTGATCCTAAATGAGACACCTCACAGTATTACCATCAGATCCTGTATGTAATGCTGTTGTATGTACATGGATTCAAACTTTGTCTGATTATAAAGACAATAGAGAGATGTCAATCAAGGCCCAAAGGTGGAACTAACTATTCTTTTCAATACTGATCAATCTATCATTGATCTTAATTACTCTGTACATTGTGTGTAAAAGCTATGATAGTTGCCCATCAGAGACAACCTGTAGCAAAAGGTTTTGAGATTTCTTACATAGTCTGACCAAACAGCCAAAACAGACTTCAAGCAACACAAAATACATGTATTTTCTATTTTTAACCTTATAATCGATTACTAAAATTAAAGAGCATTTTAGTGAGTGGTCAACGTACAGGCTCGACTACTTTGCAAATGTATGTATGTATGTATGTATGTATGTATTGAGTCGTATTTCTTTGGACAGAAACAGATTTAAAAGGTTACATGCTGAAACAATCTATTTTGTATGTGTATTTTTAACTGATGAAGTAAACTTCTTGATCAAATAAAAATTATACAAATATGTCAAATATTAAAACTTTATATCTGCCAAATTGATCGGTTAACTGTCAAATTCCAGTACTTACATTTTAGTACAGATGTTAGATAAATGCAAAATTCTCATGCATAGAAAGTAGAAAAAAATTCAAATTTAAAAAAAAGATTGTGCCCTTTTCTTTTATCTTTCTTTTTTTCCTAAACTTGAATGTCTTTATAGAGAAAAAGGTCCTTTCAAATTGTTTCATGTTCTTATATCTTTCTATTAAATCTGTCTTCCTTGTTGCACACCTTATTTAACTTTCTATACATTATGCTCCTACATGTTGTCATCATACTGTATGTGACTTCTATTGTATGTGACTCTCTCTGCATTTCTCACTGCTGCTTCTTATGTTTCCCCAACACACAGAGCACGCTGCAAGGCACTGGAACTCTATTGTTTCTTGGGAAAAATGCCTCAGGCTAGTGTTCAAGAGCTGCGTGGGGTGGGAGCATGTCGACTTAAATACCTTCAGTGGAGACATGCCATGGCCTCTTTTATCAGGTGTCTTACTAGCTGAACTATAAAGCTTAGCTCTATGTTAAACCATAAAGTCAAATCCTGTTTTTTTATGACAATGTTTTATTCACTTTTTTTCCCGTCAAAGGGATTATGTCTCTATTTGAAATTGCCCATACACATTCACTGATTTGAGGCTCATCATGGGGTCTGAATTGAAAAGCTCACATTATTTTAACACTATATGAAAACATGTCATACTAACAATGTGCCATGTAGTAAAATAAATATGCAAATATAGAAGCGAAAATGGAAACCTTTTGCTTATTCATTAATGCAGCAAGCGATGTCTGCTACATAAACGATGCAAAGTTGGCTTTCTTCCAGTAGCAACTGCTGGCACATTACTGTAACCGGACAGAATCCACATCAAGATGGAAACCTGATACCAAAGAAGTCGTTCTAAAAGAATAGTTTAACATTTTGGGAAAAGAGTTAGATGAGAAGATCAATACCAGTGTTATCTGTATAGTAGGTATGAAGCTACAGCCAGCTACCGGTTAGCTTAGCATAAAGACTGGAAACAGGTGGAAATAGCTAGCCTGGCTCCTTCCAAAGGTAACACAATACACCTACCACCTCAAAGGTTCACTAGATAATATGTAATATCTTATGGTTTATCTGTCCAAAACCTTAGATGTAAAGACAACAAGTTGCAGTTTTGTGGGGTGTGCTGGATTAGTTCTTGGTGGGCCTGGCAACCTCATGGTGAGTTTTTGTAAGGTGCAACAGAAATAAATTGATTTGTGTGATTGTTTTCTTCCCCTATTTAGCCTCCTGTTATCCCTTACAGAGCAATGAATGAGTCAGTCTGGATTGAGCAGCTATCATCCTCACCCAAGGTCTGTCTGGCACCTGAGGAGACTTAGATTGTAGCCATGTCAGAGTTAGAGATCATGACCCTGCAGGGTGACTGAAAAGGGAGGATCTTTGAAACCTTGTGCAGTGGACACTAAGAAACATCCATAAGAACTGTTTTAAACTGATTACAAAGAGTTGTGCCTCACAGTGGAAAAGCTACTGCTCCCTCAGTGGGGTCTGGAAATGCTCCAGAGTGAACTTCAGCAAGCCCCCTTTGCGGACAAAAAATTGGGGGATTTAATGTGGCTTTCGCTGTCTTAAGCCGGCCAAGAAGATGTGTCTGTAGGTGCATCGTAATGACTCCTGTCTGAAAAACGGGAGGGAGGGAGTAAATGCTGTATTCGAATCTAGTGTTCCCCCTCAAAAATGCTCTCAGTTGTCCAAACTCAACCCTCTTTGTGGCATGGTGATCACGTAAGTGGAATACATGTAGCGGGATTCACTTCTCTCTCTGTCAACAGTGTCAAACACCTAAGAAGCTCAAGCAATCCACACATCCATATTATAGTGGACTGGAAGGTATTTCCCTTATTTTGTGTAGTGCTAACCTCTATAAAGTAATCCAAATGAAACTGCAATGAAAAACTATCCCTGAGCCAAAGCATACCTGGGTCAGGATGCAATTTGTTAACTACCTTGTGGAGCAAAAAAATCACAACTTAAAACTTAATTATCTTGTTTTTGAGTACTTAAGCTTCACATAATTTACTTTAGAGAATGTCATAAGTTAGAGAAACACTTTCTGTTAAAAAGTCTTCTAAATTTACAAAAACATTCATTAAACTGAACAAAAATGATTGAAACAATATCAGTAAGTCTTCAGTTTGATATTGTCTTTTTTCTATCTGACTGGACTTCACACTCACACCAAAATCACTCAGAACACCAGTTTAATCCAGGACATGGAGTTTATTTTACAACTGAGGATAAAAGAATGCCATTTTGAATAATTAGGTTGATGATAAAACCTGGAAATCTATCATTGGGTGAGAGTTAATTTTTTTTTCAAAGTTATTTACAGTACCATGCATCGGAGCAGATGCCAGTAAAGTTCTGTCATTTTATGTAAACCACATTGAAGGACCTAGTTTTCACTGAAAAAGGACATTGTGGTCCGACAATATTCTGTAGTTTTATACATTTCCCCCATATTTGTCTAGAAAATAACATTATAAAAATGCACACAGTACAAATAATGTTGAACTGTAAAGAGCAAGATATGCTGACATACATGTATACATACTTGCTGATTATTCATACAATAAGTTTTAAACTTCATTAATTTTACAACTGCAGCTTCACAATAATAAAATTGGTAGCCTACTAACGCAAATACTGTACATGTTGAAACAACCAGGAAATTATATTTTACTAGGGAAACAAATATTCTAAACATTTTGTAAGAATTTATGTAACTTAATGGCAAATACAAAACAATATTATAGTCAGTCCCCCAAATTGTCACACTGATCAAGGGAATAAAAACTCAAAAGGGTAATGTGTTGTCATTTTTACTCATACATTTCTTCATCAATTTACACTTCCTTAAAGTGCTGAAATCATCTTATCATCATCTTTCACATGGCTACTTTAATAACCATACACCTTCATATAAACATCTATATCCGCAATTTGTTAAACAGGGATATCAGTTTTCTCATCATGGTTGAAATATCATTAGACACAATATGCTCACTGATTTACATAAAAACATGCACAAACTGTCTCATAAATAATATGCAAGTTGTGTTGAAATATATTTATCTAAAAAAAAAAATCATTCAAAAACAGTGATCAAAATTAAGAGCATGGTCCAGTTTTAAAACAACAGATGGACTTTTCCCAAAGGCTCAGATAAGATGCAGTGCATTAGGAAAGCAACAATCGGTCAGTGACTACATAGTGCCATGGCTGCTGCACCAATTTGGTACATTTCTGTCACCAAAATTTCAACTTTTCCAACAGCTTGGAGCCTCTGCAAGGCCCTGATATTTATGGGTAACTGAATAATTACAGTATGTGGTATTAAAGCTACCATGTTTTCATTACAATATGTGTTGTAACAATGCTTAATACAGTTGTGGCACTATCTGTTTTGACAGATTGGAGCTTAGAGTTATAGTGCAACAGTAATCTTGCTATCAGCTTTATCTTCATTGTTTGTCAAACTTTTCCAACTCTTTCACAAAGATAAGATGGTCCTCTGGTGACTTTCCATGTGTTTTGCAAAGGTGCAATTTGATTGCATGTTTGCTCACAAATGTCCGATTGCACAGTTTGCACTGAAATATTGAGCCAGTGTCATCATCTGTAAGTCCAGAAGAACGGAAAGTCTTTTCCTCTATTCTGACAGCTTGCTGCTCTATTAAATCTATGGAAAGCTTTGAGAGGTCCTTGAGCGTAAACCCTAGGTGGGACTCCAAATGGTTAATGTAGGAGGAGGGAGTCCTGAACTGGGAAGCACAGTCACTGCACAAAAACAGAGGTTGGCCAGAGTCAATATTTTTTAGGAACTTTGTGCCCCCTGTCCGCTTTAACTGGTATTTTACATTGGCCAGCCAATGTGAGATAGTAGTCATGGATAGACCAGTGAATTTACAGATGTGGACCCTTTCCTGAGGTCCCAAATCACTAATGACAAACTTTCCATCAGGAGTCTCCTGAAGACTAGAGACAAACTGGGCCTGGAGTATCAGGAGGTGCTGTGGATTCCAGTTTGACTGTCTGCCTTTCCGTCTTTGGATGGGAGATAGCTCCTCCAAGCTGTCCTCGAAAGTACAGCCATCAATGTCTGATTTTTCAGAGATGGAAGAAGGGGTCGTAGACTTTGGTGTCAAACGGCCTGTCAGGTTTTTTACCATGTCTGAAATATCCATCAAAGCATTCTCCCGCAGAGGTGGAGATGAAGACTGTGAGAAATTTTTGAAAACTGGTTTGCTGTTATTTACACTGTCATTGTTGTTTGGTGTAGAAATACCCTTAGGTGTACTTCCATTAGTGTTTTTGGATTTTGTCAAGTCCATGGGCTGATCATCATCATCATGGTTCTGACTCACAGGCTCTGCTGACTTCATCTGAGCGGAGTTGCTGTTCATCTTATAAAGCATTGCAAAGGGGTCTATGAAAGGGGTGGCAACTTTTGCAGCTTTTCCCAAGTGGTTGTTCATGATAGACTGCAAAGCACTGAGAGGGTTGACAAGTGGTTGTTCAGGCGAGTGATCAGTGATGATGCTCAGGTTATTGCAGCCATTGCTTACAGGCCTTTTTGGTGAATCAACTTCACTCTTTATCCGTGTTTCTACTTTACTCTCTATTTGCTCTCCTTCTTTTCCTCTCATCTCAGTCTGGTTCTCTACTGCAGTATTCTTCACTGCCTTTAAGAGATTTTCTGGATTGGATGAAGCCTGTTTGTCCTTTGGCAATGGAGACTTTGCAGACCTGCACTTACTCTCTACAGGTTTTTCCTCTTTTTCATGCTTTACTGAAGTTTTCCCTGTCACTTTCTCAACTAGCTCCTCCATGGCCAGCACATTGCTCTTGTGACTTGGAGGCGGAGAGGGGCTATTTGGTGAATGGATCAGAGTGCCTAAATCAGAGGACAGTACCTTCAAACTGTTGCTGCTGAACAAAGGTTGAACCTGTGCACATGAAGTCAAGCTAGACTTCAAGGATCCATGGAGTTGATAGGCAGCATGAATGCTGGGGTATCCACCCCAGGTTGGTGCACCTGTTTGGGCCTTACTGATTGCACTTGAAACTGTATTCTCTAAAGACTTTAGGATGTCCAAGCCACCTTTAGGGGCCTCTTCCAAGTCTTCTTCTCTCAGATATTGGTAAGATCTGGCCTTTCCATGTTTATCAGATTTTTCAGTAGGGTCTTCTTTCTCCTCTTTAATTTTTTTTCTCTCTGGTTCCCTAGCTTCCATTTTCTCTTCCACTGCCTCTTCATCTTTCTTATCTTCGTTTTCCTCCTCAGGGCTATGGGGCTGCATCGGTGACTCGGGCTGTGACTTCCCATTGTGTGCTGGGAGTCGTGTGGTAGTTGGTGGCAGAGGAATTGACTGAATTTTCTCCTCAACTACAGGATCAAAAACTAATTGCTTACCTTTTTTAGAGGCTGAATTGGTTACTTTGAGAAAGTGCCCTGTGACCATCATATGGGCTGTCAGTTGTTGCAAGGTGTCATGTGAACTGCCACATTCCATGCATTTCAGAATTTGTGCCTTGCGTGCCTCAAACTGCCAAGTATAACTGGCACCATTTTGGTAACCATATCGATTGTTTGGAGTGACGTAAGGATTGGCCACTTTTTGGTCTTTGGGAGACTCTCCCAGGAGTATGCCAGATGAGACAGACTCTGGCGAGCTCGGGGACATCAAGTCTTGAAATGCTCTTTTTTTGGTTGGGGGCACCAGCTTTGAGGTGAGGGCTGGCATTGGTTCTTTTAGAGGCACTTTCTGATAGTGTTTTGTTTTGATCATATGAACACTGAGGTCTTGCAAGGATTCGAAAGAATGACCACAGTACATGCATTTAAGAACTTTCTGGGCATCTTCTTTACCCTCCATCTCCATCAGAGAACGCTTACGTGGCTTGGACCACTTCTTGCTTCGATCATCCTCTGTATCCTTATTGTCATCACGGTAGTGGCCCGTCTCATTCATATGAACCGTCAGGCCAACCAAAGTGTCATAGGCTGCACTACAGTCCTTGCACCTGAACTTGCTGGCACCCGTGAACACAGGGCCATAGAGCTTATTGTTTTGCCTGTAAAGCTGCACGGTGCTAAAAAGGCTTGGCTCAGGAAGGAGTTGGTATGGGGTATGCTGTAGAGTTTTGGCCAACGCTGCCTGGTGCCAGTCATAGGCTAATCCTCCTGTGCTACCAGAGCTTACACTGGTGCCACTGTTGCTGTTGCTTGACACCGTTCTGGTGGTAGTACTGCTGGTGGTAATATTAGTAGTAGCTGAGGCGTTGCTAGTGCTACATCTGCTCTTCAAATGGATGTTGCCTGGACTGTGACTGCTAAGGAACCCATTGCTCCCTTTGTGATTGCTCCCATTGCCATTGCTAGCTGTGTAATTGTTCCCTTGTTTACTTTTAAGCATGTCCAGAGCAATGCTGGACCAGGAGGCATCAGAAATCAGGTTTGCATAGACGGCTTTCATTTGTGCCAGACTGTCCTGTAGTGAGAGGCCATTGATGGACTCTGTGCTCTCCACTATCTTCTCCTTTACCTTGTCCTGATCATTGAAGGAGGATGTGGTCTTAGGGTCCACCAGTTGATCACTGGTGGTGCTGAGTGGAGAGGCGTACCCAGCGTCTGGGTTAGTGCCGTTGCTGAGTGGAGAGTTTTGGCAGCTATAACGATCTCTTGCGTCCTCGTCATCATTGAAAAGATAGTCTGCATCTTGACCATCCAGGGAAAGGCCGTCATCTTGCAGATGTTCTTCTTCATCAATCTTATCCCCTTTAAATTCGTCCTCAGGTCCATAAGCTGGAAAACAAAAAAGAAGGAAAAAGTGACATTAGATACTAATGTTAAATATATATATATACCATTTATGCATCTATCTATGTGAAGGTGGTATGTGCAATAATCCAAAAGAGATTTTTGTCAATAGCCCCAGCAGAGGACACAGGTTTGTGATAATAAAGTGGCAAACATCCATATCTTGACAATGACAGATAGTCCTCTTCACTGCACTGCCTAATGAAGCTATTGAACACTACAGCTCAGCAAGGGTAGAGAGCAGAGATGAGCTACAGAAATGTTTCTGCTTAGTTTAAAAAAAACTAAAAAACAAGCAAAATTTCAAATTACACCGAGAGCAAATCCTTAGAGTAGACAATACTTATTAATCACATGGTGAGATATGTGACTTCACAATAGAAATTAAGACATTTTTGTCCCTTCACAATTCAAAAGAAATAACAGGAAAAAGGGAAAATATGCCTAATGCTATGTTAAAGACTCACTTTGATGTTGCCTTCACAACATATACTGAGTGGTAACAGTGAATTAATAAGATGAATTTACTGCATATGTGCAAACATTTCATTGTATTCATCAACTATGATGATGAACTATGAGTTTTTTCTTATAAGCAAATTGAAATGCCAGAGAAGTCTACAGCCATATAGTCTATGTATGAGTATTTCATTGTCTATTTTGCTGCTGTATAGCAATCATAGATCTGTTCCTGACTTTGATGTTTTTTTTTCATCCAACATGCCACACATACTATGGATTCACAAGTAAGAGATAGTGGAGGAAGATGCCAGCTGCATCAGCCCTGCCAAGCCATGGTTGGCTGGAGTCAACTTGGCATTGGCTGTGGAAGTCCTCACAGCGTGATGCTAGGAAACGGCCAGTGGACATGACAAGCTGTGTTGTTACTGCCTATGCTCCCTGAGTACTCACAGCTTCAAGTGTGCCATTTTAAAAGAACAGAAAAAGATTTATAGTATCAATGGATAATGGCTGCCCACTCTCTATGATTTTCACAAAGCATTTGTTTCAAAAATTATAACATCTTCCTCATAATTTCTTTTAATCTCCAGATGACAGAGATAAAACATTTAAATTAAAATGGAATCATTTTCTACAATAGCAGAAAGATGAAAAGGTTTACATATGATTCTGGAAGCAGATTAGGAGAGAAATATTACAGAAATATTACAGAGAGGCAGGGAGAAAGAAAAATAGAGGGTTAAATATGCTAAGGCTGCTCCCCCAATCCATTCCTCGTAAGATGCTTGTCTGAGGTGCCAGAATCAGTCTCCAGTGAGGAGGCAGATGTGCTGTCAGCTTCAAACAGCATGTAGCTCTCTATCCCATAATCGGAATGGACATAATACCTGATGTTTGTGAGGTGCCAGTTACTGCTGCCTGGGAAAAGCTGGAGGTGCAACAGCTGCAACTCTCTGCCTTGTATGTGTGTGAAAGTGCGTGTGCGAGAGAACGTACATGCTCGACGCACAACCTTCCTCCTTCTAATTAAAGTATTCCTGTGCTAGTTTTGCTCTTAACCGTAAGCTCTTAATTATACACAGGCTACTCCGAAATCATTCACTTGAGTTAGTCACTAAATTAGTAGATTTTAACCTTTTGCCAATGCAGCTGCAATGGTTTCTTTCAATCTGTCTCGTCCTCCCTACGAAGACGCAGCCCACTGTATTGAAATAAATGCAAAACTGAACCTATTCAGAGTCAATGTGGTGAGAGTAGTTAAAGACAAAGCAGCTTAGCTGACAAAGTGAGAGAAACCTGACAGCAGTACAAACACACACACATTCACACAGCGAAAGCTCACTAACACTAAATTCTAGTTTCCCCTGCCATCCTCCGTATGTTGCCTTGACAGGCATCAGTGTCAGGAGTGTGTCAGTGTCAGCCTGAGGTGTCAGTGTCCACGCAAACAAGCCTGAGAAGAGGTGGGAGGGGAAAGTAACAACAACAAACACAAGTCAGCCATTTTTCTCGCCTCCCCCCCCTCCATCCCTGCTCGAGCCTCCTCCTTCACCATCTGTGTCAGAAAAGCTGCGGGTGCCACCGCCGGCTAATAAGGCAATCAGAGATGGAAAAGATGCTGACACGGCGGCTTTCGAGCGTCACTCAGAACAAAAGAGGAAGAGGAGAGGGAGGGAGAGAGGGATAGGGAGGGGATTAAAACGGGGGTGGAGGGGAGGAGAGGAGGAGAGGTGTCTGTTGTGGTTGTCAGTCAAAAACGTAAGCCCACTTTGTGCTGTCAGGGAGGATAGGGAAAAGAGGGGAAGTTTTGAAAAGAGAGGAGAAAAGATGCGTTTAGTCCAGTGAACAAGAGGTGTGTGTGTGTGTGTGTGTTTGTTTGTGTGTGTATTTCACAGAAAAAAACATGACAGGGAAACAAGTTTAACAGCATCCAACAAACTAAGTCCAAGATATCAGGAGGAAGAGGAGGCGATGAAATTTTTGCCGTGTGTGTGAGTTTGTAGGTGTATGTAAGATAGGTGTGGCTGATCACTTGAGTGTGTGTCAAGTGTCACAGTGTGTCAGGTGCATGCAGGGATGCAGTGTGGCTGGCGGGGGGAAAGCGAAGCCATCTGTGTCTGGAGAGGAGGCCTGTCACTATTGTTGTGCCCTGAGTCCAGGATTTCCTGCTGCAGACAGGTGACACCACAGTAGGACATCCCCCAAGTCACACACACATACACACACACACACCTCTCCCCCAAACTACATCCCTCCCCCAAGGCAGGAAGCTGTGTGAGGTCCACACACACACACACACACACACACACACACACACAACACCTTGAAAGAACAAATGTGACTGGGCTGAGACAGTTGAGAAAATGCTTGCTACCAACAAACAAGTAACGCACATGCCTGCACTGGGCCTGGGTATGAAATTCTCAATACTCAATACTTCAGTCGGTAATAAATATTGTTATCAAGTACACTTTGCCTTCTTCTGTTAAATTACAAAATTAACAAATTATTTTGCTATCAGTAGTGAAGTTCAGGTAGTAGTAGTATTTAAAAAATCATGGACACTTACTGACAGCATTACAACTGTGCCCCAGAGGGCAAAATAGTGGAAAAATATTAAAACAGAGAATTCTAAGTACATTTTCAATGAAAGGGTATAATAAATACAACTTTGACTGCCCAATAGCACTACATATTACAATATGTTTTTAATACAGTGACAAGAGATCAAGACTCCTGACCAGTTCTACAAGATAACGTAAGACAGGGTGAGATAACTTGTGTATGACATGGCACTGGCACAATCAACACAACTCTTTTTTTTCTCCTTCCTCTCTGTTTCATACAGTATACACACACATAACACTTTCCCCCTCTAAACCTTCTTCATTTATTCATGTTGTCTCGGAGAAGAGGGCAATCCTGGCTCTCATTTGCAGTGCTAATGTCCAATTCCGGCAGCTTTCACCCTGCTGATTTACCCTGCGTGGCCGAGCGCTGCCTTTGGAGCGGGGCGGCCGGTGAGGCTCCCTCACACCGTTTAGCGGCCCTTCAAAATGGGAGCTCTGGCGTGGCAGTCTTATTTCTCTCTCCCGTTTCGCTTTGTCACCGGCCCCTCTATTCCCTGCCACTCACCTCTGATGGCTTTGGACAGGCCTGATCAGTGTGTGTCATTGACCTGTACGGCGTGCATGAGTGTGTGTGTGTTTCAGCAGAGAGAAGGCTGTAAATAAAATGACATTATTATTTCCTCTGTCCTATCATGTAGAAAAGCCAATTATGGTAATGCTTAGTATGTCAGGCAATCTCTGTCTCTGCCTGCTCTCCCCCGTCCGCTTCATTCTTGCTCTTTTTTTTCTCTCTGGGATAGTCGTGGCTGTGGTTTCATAGGACCTGACACTCTCTTTGGACTATTCTGTGGACAACGCACACTAAGGCAATCTCAGCCTCAACACAACTACCAAACAAACAGCTTTTCATACGATTCTGTATAAAGAGCTGCCATCAGAGAAATCATCTGAGACCTACATTGTCATTCAAATGATTAAAAAATGGAGCTAAATAGTAAACTCTTCAGATCCATCAAGTCAGGTTTCCCTTTTTGTCTTTCTAGTGGCTGGCAACTTTGCTGGGTTAAATTCAAGTGCATGTTTTATATTGCCTCCCAACACAGCACAAAGCTACAAAGATAAGTGTTGCCAAGGATACCATGCATTAGCCATAATTTAACCCGCAGCTTGCTTGACCAGACATGTAAAAGCCTACCTAACAGCCCTTCGCCCCCCAGCCCCACCCTTTCCTAACCCACATGGAATAGTCCACCATATGGCACAATAGCTCCAGGGCTTCTAATAGCTCCTGTGTCGCACAAATCCACCTTCTCAGCTTCCATGAGTCTTCCGGTTGGGGAAAACAAAACAGCCTGTGCAGTCTGCTCTTCATGCTGGTAGCTACGTGAGCTAGACAACAAATCTTTTCTGTTACTGCAAAGGGCTTGTGTCACTGCTTTTGGATGCTTTCTAAAAAAGATAAATTAAGTTAAATTACCTTGTACTAAACTTTTTGACAGTCCTGAGGGCTTTCACAAATGTTCCAAGTAATTTGCAATTACTTGAACTCATATTATGCTAATAGCCTTTTTAAATGGGTCACACAGACAGTGCATTTTACCTCTGGCTCAGCTTCATTAGGCCACTACGAGTATAGTATGTGTGAATCCAAGAGAGTAAATGATCATTGAACAGATCAGAGATGAAAGGAAGAAACAAAAGGTGGAGAACTGCAGCTATTTTTTTCTGAAGGAAAATAATTTCCAGGTCTTTCTTGAATTGCTTTGCAGGTTTCTCCTCTTCTATTTTTTAATCTTCCTCTCTTTCGTTTTTCCACTACTGTTTGTTCAGGTCTCCCATGAGCCAGTTTTGACACGCCATGACAGTGACTGTGGTCTATAAATCACCGTTTCCCTGAACTGTCAGTGCCTGCTTGTTCTGAGATGAAACAACAGCCATTAGATCATCGGCACC